AAGAAGTGGTTAAAATTATCTCTAGCCAAGTTTATGATATTCTTTCATTAAGAAGTCTCTTTTTCAAACGGTTGTCACAAAGCACTGTTCAATTTACCAGAATTAATGCTAATTAATGTGTTTTATTTGCTAGATTCCGAGCTATCGTGTCTTCCTTCTACCGAGGGGCCAATGGTCTGATCATTGTCTTTGATGTGTGTGACCTCACCAGCTTTGAGCGTGTCCCTTACTGGATTGATGAAGCTAGCCGATATGGTGACCCGAGCTGCATCAAACTGTTGGTCGGAAACAAGACGGACAAAGTCAATGACAGACAAGTGACCAGTGCTCTAGGTATGTTACAAATAGTGTGAAACCCAAGTTGACCTTCTGAAATACAGTTTACAATCAAGTAGTAACCTTATGAAATACAGTTTACAATCAAGTAGTAAACTTATGAAATACAGTTTACAATCAAATAGTAACCTTTTGAAATACAGTTTACAATCAAGTAGTAACCTTTTGAAATACAGTTTACAATCAAGTAGTAACCTTATGAAATACAGTTTACAATCAAGTAGTAACCTTATGAAATACAGTTTACAATCAAGTAGTAACCTTATGAAATACAGTTTACAATCAAGTAGTAACCTTTTGAAATACAGTTTACAATCAAGTAGTAACCTTTTGAAATACAGTTTACAATCAAATAGTACCTTTTGAAATACAGTTTACAATCAAATAGTAACCTTTTGAAATACAGTTTACAATCAAGTAGTAACCTTATGAAATACAGTTTACAATCAAATAGTAACCTTATGAAATACAGTTTACAATCAAGTAGTAACCTTATGAAATACAGTTTACAATCAAGTAGTAACCTTATGAAATACAGTTTACAATCAAGTAGTAACCTTTTGAAATACAGTTTACAATCAAGTAGTAACCTTTTGAAATACAGTTTACAATCAAATAGTACCTTTTGAAATACAGTTTACAATCAAATAGTAACCTTTTGAAATACAGTTTACAATCAAGTAGTAACCTTTTGAAATACAGTTTACAATCAAGTAGTAACCTTTTGAAATACAGTTTACAATCAAGTAGTAACCTTATGAAATACAGTTTACAATCAAGTAGTAAACTTATGAAATACAGTTTACAATCAAATAGTAACCTTTTGAAATACAGTTTACAATCAAGTAGTAACCTTTTGAAATACAGTTTACAATCAAGTAGTAACCTTATGAAATACAGTTTACAATCAAGTAGTAACCTTATGAAATACAGTTTACAATCAAGTAGTAACCTTATGAAATACAGTTTACAATCAAGTAGTAACCTTTTGAAATACAGTTTACAATCAAGTAGTAACCTTTTGAAATACAGTTTACAATCAAATAGTACCTTTTGAAATACAGTTTACAATCAAATAGTAACCTTTTGAAATACAGTTTACAATCAAGTAGTAACCTTTTGAAATACAGTTTACAATCAAGTAGTAACCTTTTGAAATACAGTTTACAATCAAGTAGTAACCTTATGAAATACAGTTTACAATCAAGTAGTAACCTTTTGAAATACAGTTTACAATCAAGTAGTAGCATTTTGAAATACAGTTTCAATCAAGTAGTAACCTTTTGAAATGCAGTTTTCTATTCAATGTTTACAAATAGTTTGCGTCCCAGAAAACGAAGAGAACAAACAGGGACCTAACTACAACCCAAATAATAAGAAGGTAAAAAAAAAAGTGCTTGTGACGTCATGAGTTCCAGAAAAAAAAACTCGAATGTATGAAAAAAACGGAACATTTCATTTTTGGATCTGATAACTTAAAAAGTAGATTTATAAAGCAGTTAACAATCAATCATTTTATATTGGAAGGTTCAGATGACTGTCTAATATCTGAGGTGAACTGTGCTGCAGTTTCTAGATCAGGAAGCTCTCCTTATTGAAATTCCATTCTGTTGTGTCCGGCTCTGGGGCGAAAAATTATTTGTTGGTCGTATCGGAATAGCCAATAATAGAAATCGTCTTTCTTGTAATTTGGACAAGAGTTTGTCTTTTTTTTTTATTGATCCTAATCACTATTACTTTCTTCATTTCTTTCGGATAGAGTCAAATTTTCGATTGCTTATTCATTTTCTGGTGACACTTCTCCACAAGTCTAATTTAACTATTCCCAAATTTCATCTTCTGGAACCTATGTTGTTTCATTCTGTTGTGTCCGGTTCTGAGGCGAAAAAATAATTGTTGGTAGGATCGGAATAGTTTATAATAAGCATCGCCTTTCTTGATATTTAAATGGAGAGATTATCGATATTTGGTTTATTCTTCTCACTGTTATTTTCTTGATTTCTTCCGGATTTCGATTGGTAGCTGCTAGTTGTAGTGTTCCCCCTTTCTCCTCTGTGGCTGTCAGAGAGCCGCCAGTTGCAATAGACTTTTCTAGATTTTTCCGTTTGGAACCTGTGGCTGATTGGTAAAGCGCTTAGCTTCTGAATCGGGGGTCCCGGGTTCGAATCCTGTTAAAGACTGGGATTTTTAATTTTGGGAGAAGTAAAGGGTTTTGATCATTGTGCAGGCCACATCACACCATCGTAAACGTGAGCCTCAGAAACAGATGACCTTTACATCATCTTCTCTTAGACCCTATGGTCTGAAAGGGTAATTATATCTGTTTGTGGTAGATTCGTGAGATCGTACGTCTGTGTAGAATCGTACCCATTGTGAGAGATATTTCACTCAGTAGACACCCTCCTACTGCTTCTCATGTTGTCTATATGGTTCTACAAGTGATCTAAATCACCATTAAATATAAACCCATTTTTTTTTTAAATTAAACATTTCTCTATTCTCAGCTCAATCATTGGCGGATCAATTCGGCATGCAGTATATAGAGACCAGCGCCAAAGAGGCCCAAAACGTCCAGGCAGTGTTTGACGTCATGGCGGACACCATCGTCAGGTCCAAGAGGCAGCTCAACTACGTCATGGCGCCCGACGTTATGACCCAGTCGTTCAGGCTGGACTCCAAAGACGTGACCCCCGTTTATTCCTGCTACACTGGTAGTGGCTATTGCTACTGACCAGATATGTGCAACTGATAGGCTATGTAATATTGACCTGAAATGTTCCACTGGCCATTGCTGTTTGACTGAAATCTGTTCTCTGACGTAATATGACCTGCTGACCTGCATTGTTCTACTGATGTAATAAACTCTACTGACGTAAGATGTTATGCTGACGTAATATGACCTGCTGACGTAGCCATTGTTCTACTGACGTAATATGACCTGCTGACGTAGCCATTGTTCTACTGATGTAACAATAAGTTCTACAGACGAAATATGTTCTACTGACGCAAAATGTTCCACCGACATGATATGATGACTGTAAATACTGACATATGTTCCACTGACATGATATTATACTAACGGCCTAATCTATACAACAAACTTATAGATCCAACTGATATAAAATCTGTTCATTGAACACGCTATGTCTAATACAAACTTTTGACAACCTGTACAGACTACGAGTGCACACAGAAGAGGGGAACAATAGATGCACTTTTAATGAAAAAAATTGAGATTTTTTTCAGTCGCGGAAAAACTATTATTTAGCTAGATATTTTTTTTTTTGCTGTATATTGAATGTATGCTTTTTTTTATATAACACTTCCTAAATGTAATCAAAAGATGGGGTTATTTTTTTTTTTATGTTAGGTCTTGTTACGTAAAGAAATTACATTGACTATTTCCTAATAAAAAAAATATGAGGACGCGAATAGACAGATGTTTCTGTTGTTGTTGCGTTCTGCGCTTCCACGCTGTGTCTGATGCAGATAAACTAAACGGAGGTAATACGGACATAAAGAAATCCAATAACACAGCCAAAAACAGAAGTTAGTCGACGCTGATACTGAATGTCGAACAAGAAGTTGAATAATGACGAAGGGAACTGTCGAATGTCGTCAAGCTAAATCACTACGTTCATATAAACTGCCTCTCTGTAAGACCCATCAAAAGCTGTTTCTATTTCGCTATTCCTTCTCAAAACCTAGTCTAGTTTTTTACTAGTCGCGTCACTATTTACGAAAAAAACAACGAATTCATAATCGTGGCATAACACTGGGCATTATTTTTTTTTTAATATCCCAATAAGTAGCCGTGCTACAGTAATTAGGTTAGTTGAGAGTTTGATGTTTTTATTCCACAGTAAGTAAGATGTTGTACCATTAGATTTGTTTGTCCTTACTGAGGGTTTGAATGAAGCACCCTACTTCCCCCTTCTCCTGATGCTATCTCTATTAACTGTTTGATCTTTATTTCATTCATTCTTTTGTCATCCCTAATGACAGCATTCAAAATACATTTTTTACAAATTAGTTTCTGTTTACTTCTTACTAACATCCATTCATGGCTGGTCATGAAGATGTTAACGTTAAGTTATCCTTCCTTTTTTTTATATTATCTATCTTATCTTATCTTATATATTACAGCTATCAAGCGAACTTAGTCTCTCGACCACCTCCCACTACAATGTTATTTTAGGTTATCTATTAGAATATCGTTACACATAAAATCTACAATGTCTGTCATATAACTTATATAATATACATATTCGCTATTCGATTTATTTTCATATGATAAGTTTGATAATCCGAGGTAAAGACATACATTCCTTTTTTAATTCCCCTTTAAGAAAAAGTACAATCTTTAGATGTTTGTTGAATGCATAGACATAAATAAATATAGACTGGCCGAAGGAAGTAACTTCATGTAACTTGAAAACATGTATATCTATTGTATTCGGATTTCCGAAGTATGAAAAAGTGCATGATCTTCATTCTTAGAGATTAAACAAAACTACACTGCCTCCTTATTTAAAATATATATATAGGTGTGTGGCTGAAATAGATATGAATACTTAACTTTTATACTGCTTATAAATGCTGTATAATAAAGTACACAAAATGGCAAGTCACAAATTTTCGTTTCATAAAACTCTTTAATCGGCCAGTCTATATTTATTTATGTCTATGGTTGAATGTTAAAAAAATAATTTCTTCCTTTACACTTTCGCCTTTCAGTTTTAATGAACATTTTTGTTTATATTTTATGTTTTATACATAATTTATTTTTCACTTTGTTTTAAACATTTATCTCTACAATGCATTTACGTCACGGGATTTTTTACACATTTTTAATTCTTGAACATTTAGGATGCACAAATCGTATAATAATTATCATATTTTGTAATGATTTGATTCGTTTTTTTCCTCAGAATCTATATCTCAGTCATAGTTTTGAGTTCTATATTATATATCAATTACAACATTTGTACAAACAAAAATTATAATAAATTTCAATTTTTTTAAAATTCAGATTTATTTTCTCAAACTGTTTATAATAAATAAAAAGATATTACCTTGATAAAATGTATGGTTTTTTAAAAATAGTATATTTAGTCTCTTAGGATGAATTCAATCATTTTAGACGGGAAGTACTAGGGTTAGCAGACGCCTACACGCCCAAAGGTGGACGGAAAGAAGAACAGATTCTTACAAGTAAAAAAAAATAGAAAAGAAAAGAAGACAATGTTAACTTAAATACAAGCGATCAGATGCTATCTGAAGAACATGTTAGAGATCAGGATGGCTGCCTGGTCGTGCGGTTTGCGCGCTGGACTATCGTTCAGATTTATCGATGGTCTCGGGTTCAAACCCTGCCCGCTCCCATTCCCCGTCGTCCTGCGGGAGGTTTGGACTAGGAAGTAATTATCTTCAACTCTGAAGGAACATCCGAAACATGTAAAACATCTTTTACAAACATCTGAAGAAAATGCTAGAGATCAGAAGCTATCTGAAGAAAATGTTAGAGATCTGAAGATAATTTTGTTTCATGTGAGAAACTTGATGTTCCATGTTCTAATTTACAGTATTATTTTATCTTATATATTACAGACGTTACTTCACAAGAGAAGATAATTACATCTTACGCACTTCATGTGTCAATCTAGTCATGCATGTTACTCCATCGTCCATCCTAGTGGCGCTACAGCTAATGGATGACCCTGGCCCCTGCTTGAGCACACCTCTCCACTATGATCTATCCAGTGCTTTACGTCTCCATGCCTCGAACTCTTAACTGCTGTAGAGCTGCCTCTACGTCTGCCTTCTGTTTTTTGCCAGTGCACAACCTTTGCTCCTCTGTTGTCTGGCATTCTTTCGAGGTGACCTACCCAATCTGTCTCCTTTTATTGCCGTCACTACGGAGGGATCTTATACAAGCTGGTATATTTCTTAGGTTGGTGCGAATCCTCCATCCCGGTTTCCTCATGCATGGCAACATACATTTTTCTGCTTCCTTCCCAGACGTTTAGCCGATTTTCTGTTAATCAATCAATTGCGAACTCTGCTAAGTCGTTGGTATTCCTGACTGATTCAAGCAACCCATTCCATTCTCTAATGGCACTAGTAAAGATTGAGTACTTGTATAAATGTGTTCCAGTGTAAGGAATAAGAGATTTACTGACATGCTTCATCGTGTTATATATTTTCCCTCAATAAAACTCTTCAAATAATTTCTGGTTATCTAAGTTTAAAAAGGCACTTTACTCTGCCACATTATAGTTTGACGTTTGAAGCTCCCTCCCTTCTTTACGTCAAAACCATTTAAACCCACGTGCAGATCTTCATCCTAGACGTCTCGCCGATCCCAGATCTTCTTATTAGTTGTTCGCCCAAACCTGCTGAGAAGAAGGTTGGGGGTGGGTGGGGGGGGGGCTAGTGAAAACAGGTAAGCGCAAATGTCAAGCCGTGTTGACAAACTTGAGAATGACAAGCAAACACTACCTGGATGTTGTGGCGCAGATGTTTACCTGGGATAGGTGACCAGGCAGGAGGCCCACATGCACATCCAGAAAGAACGCGATCAATCGGAAGACATCAGCACGCTTTGTGTGAGTGTGTGTGAGAGAGAGAGGATACGTGTTCGTGTGTGTGTGTGTGTCATGTGCTTTGCTCTCCTTTTTATAACCTGTTGGTCAATACTTTGTGTCCCTCCAACTAAATATGTAATAGGATACTCATTAATCGTGTGGGGGAGAAATGTAGTCATTACAATAGAGAAACAACAGATAAACTAAAACAAAGCACATCCATAGATACAACATTGGTGTTAGACCGGGACCAGTCGTTATAGAGGGCCTCAAGACTGACCTGCAACGTCACTAGCTGTCGGCAGTTTAGACCAATAGCTCGTTGCCACGCCGTACAGACCTATGATGTTCTAGACCTGCAATAATAAATCCGTGCGATTACAAATATTTTTACCAACTGTTTTTGCTTAGCGCTATTTCATGCTTTTATCCTGCTCAATACGCTTTGATCCTATCACTTTTCTGGACCAGTTGGTAAAATGGAATAGGGGGGGGGGGGAGAGAAAGACAGGGATCTCTGGGTAAATTATATCGTAATCGATTTTTAAATGCATTAGCAAAAAAAAATAAATAAGTGGGTACGGCCTGAATTCGAACTTATGGCTCACGATTCCTCAAGCCAATATACTAACTACTCTGCTAGTGAAGTGCTTACGGCTATAGAAGATTATAAAAAAATATGTTGTTTATTTCAAACTTACTTTAAAGCGGTAGCGGTAACCCATAAAAGGAACTATTCCAGCTTATACAACCACTTCAGTCAAGTATATTTTTTCCCTTGTTCCAGATACCAAACAAAAATATTTAATTACCAATTAACTAATTGTTTGTTTTTTTTTTATTGATTCTTGTGTTGCCAGGGGAAAGAAAAAAACTGTAAAATTTCAGCTTGATCCAAGACTGGGTGTGGAAGAAATAACGTGTACAAACTTTTGGCCAGACAGACACAGAGAGAGTTGATAGAAGCTTTGTAAAAAAAAAACAACAGCTTAATAGACAATTGAACAGTCTATAACTAATGGTTTTGAAAATGAACTAGATAAATCACGTTACCAAGCACCTAAGGATCATTTCAAAACAACTGAACAAACATAAAACAACTAAACACACATAAAAACAACTGAACAAACATAAAAACAACTGAACAAAAATTTGATGAACAGCTTTTCGAACAACTTTTAAATAGCTAAAAACAAACAACAACTTAACAGATAACTTGACACCAAGAATACTTATGATAAACATTTTAGCCAGCGACAGGGCTCATAATCTCAGCCACAGACTTTTTCAAGAGATTGATGTGTACACTTCAAAAAGGTGTGAAGGGAGACGCTATTGTAAACATTTCAAATCCTTGATGCCAATTCAAAGTCGGGGATAAGATCGCCATTTAGACAAAGTAGAGAGGACGCTCAGTCATAGTGAATGTGAACAGGAATAAAAATAGGAAAATAAATGGTCGTCAGATAAGCTCGCTTGTTTTTTAAACATCAACATCCCATTACAGTGGATCCCTGGACACATTGGCGTCATGGGAAATGAAAAGGCAGATAAGCTTTCAAAGGCAGGATCATCTATGGAACAACCCGATAGACCTGTTTAACTACCTCACCCCAACGTCAATGTTAAACAACAACCACAAAGAGGATTGGCTCAACCAATGGGCAACAGGAAACTCAGGCAGAGCCATGTACAAAGAATTGAACATGCCTAACAAACTGGACAGTATTAACTTCCTCCCTCGCAAAGAACAATCTACAATTTTCCAACTAAGGACAAGACACACACCTCTGTTAAATTACCATCTCAATAAAATAAATCCCACACAACTCCCCTTTGTAGACACTGCGCCCACCCTTATGAAACCGTACACCATATCCTTTTTGAATACCCATTCCTGATCCACCTTAGGCACACCCTACTACCACTCCAGCCCAACATAACCGACACCCTGTACGGCAGTGCTGAACAACTGAAGAAAACTGCACACTATTTTTCCTAGGCACAGTCTGCAAAAGAGCTCACAGCTCAACAGCAAAAAGCTGGCCAGAAGAAGAATAAGAAGAATCTCCAGTGGAGTATTGGAACGCAACAGCACCTCACTATCGGACTGTTCTGGGCAATTCTCCTCAGTTGGGTCCATCGTCCTGTCCTCCAATCAGTTGGGTCCAGGTCCACCCTGCCTTCTTTTTTCTTGTTCCGCTGATGATCTCCAACATGTTGTCTTTGAGCTTCCAGTCTAGATCACGTTTGCAATGTCTTCTGTTCTCGCATTTCAACCTTAGAAGACATCAAGGTTTATAGGAATAACTTCAATGACTTAAAAAGACCAGGTTAGCGATACAGCTTTCAAAACTCAATCAATTGATACCAAGAAGTATCACCAAAAAAAAATATTCAAAGGTCAAAGGTTACGATATTTGTTTTTCTTTTTTTAATATAGCTTACAATCGCCTGTGTGGCTTGAGGTTGTTTATTTTCGCACAGTCTTTCTATCTCAATGCCGAAAACAATCCCAGGACAAAAGCACACACAAACACACTTGATGGACCTGACGTCTTCCAGGCACGTATCCGTACCGCCAGCCCGACCAGCGTGACAGTGACCTAGATGAAGTCGTCAGAGTTTACTGACCCAAAGATGAAAACCTAAAAAAAAAATAGTTTTCCCACGGTCGATTTTATTTTAAACTTTCTATTAGACTTTAGGTAGATCTTGACCTGTATTGAGTTGAATAACTTGGTCTCATCTCTGGATATGTACCACTAACATATTTTGCCTCATACAAGAAAATTGTTTAGCGCCTTTTGAAAAAAAAATTAATTAAAACATTGGACATTTTAATAACAAAAATATTAAAGATTATAATAATTTAATTTAATTTATAGAGCGCTGGTAAGAAACGTAATGTAGATTCAAGGCGATGTGATAACATAATAAACTTAAACACGAGAGTTTGAATGGCAAAGTAAAATTGACAAAAGTTATGTACATAGATCTTTGTTATATCGGTCAGACCATTTGTCCCCTTTATGCTGTCCTTTGAAACAAAAATCTAAAAAAAATTTAAAGAATAAAATCGATCCTTACTTCAAATAAAATAAAATCCTATTGATTCGGATCGTTATTGAAAAAAAAAAAAATAAGGCCAGGATAGAATCGAACCCACAACATTTGCGTTATTAGCACGATGCTTTATCAATTTCGCTGCCAGTTTCGGATCTCCAGACTCTCATCTTTTGACAAATATTATGCTTCCACGATAACAAGAGTGAAAGCTAATAGTTTGAATTAAAACCCAATTTTCACAAAGCTTTTATGTTAACTCCAGCTAATTGTTTGAATTACAACCCTATTTTCACAAAGCTTATGTTAACTCCAGCTAACAGTTTGAATTAAAACCCAATTTTTA